TGGGGGTGGGGGTAGCACCTGCCGTACAAAACGCGCTCTGAAACCGAGCCCTACGGCGCCAGCATCGCAGATGACGTGGTGTGTTGTGAGGGGACCCGGTGGCGATCCCTGCGCGGCTGGACTAGCTTATTGCCGCTCGCCAGGGAGAGCAAGCAACAAGAAGTCGACACCGCGCTGGGAGTCGGCATTAGCACCATTTTCTACCCTTGATTTAAAATGCAGAACAACTGTTACTTAGGCAGAACGACGGAACAGCAGAAGTTGAGCGATACTGACTGAGGGAGCGGCTCATACCAAACGGGCGGTGTGCGCCGCACCATGAATTTTTAAATCACAGCATCTTTTCAGGTCCCTGTACAATTTAATCACAAGCCTTGATTGTAAACTTGGCCTGACTTCACTGATTCATCTGAAGGCATCCTCTCAAATTTATTATTTGCTCATATTCGTGAGCAGAGATCAAAAATCCTTCTCTTGCTCTTCTAGCACAGATTTTTATGTATAGAGCACGTACTGGCCTCTTCCCCCACCCCCTAAAGGTATGAACCACTTACTGTGACTTAGCTCTCTAATTTTGATAAAACCATTACAGAGAAGATTGAGGAGTTTGGCTCTGTTGGAAGTTTACAAGATGCACAGTGTGGCAAGCAAGGATTCTTATTAATAATTTCTGAAGTTATAAAAAAGCCAAAGGGAAAACTTAGTGCTATGGCTCTAGGAGCTCTGTCTCTCCACCTTGATGTTTTGCTTCTATCTCCTTCGGTATTTTCTCCTACTGAAAGTATCAGGGGATACTGCCTCTACTGAGTGTTTAAAGACTGCATGTGAACATGTTCCTTATCCAAATGTTTTCTCTCACTTCTCTTCCCAGCTTACCAGAGAAGATCAAGATGAGTCTACGGAAGCAAACCCCTAGTGACTTTCTAAAACAAATCATTGGAAGGCCGGTTGTCGTAAAATTAAATTCTGGAGTTGATTATCGAGGTAAGTTCTCCATCTGTCTCTCACACTGAGTAAAGTCATTGTTTGGGAAGACTGTAACAGATGCATTGCTTTTGAAAAGCAAAACAGTGTAATCCAGAATCTTGCAGTATGTGACTACAGATCTCAGAATGGTGACATTAAAAATAGACAATCAGCTCTGGAGAAAGTGATGAAAGGGAGGTCAGCAATGGAGTTAGATATTAAAATTACCTGTCTAAATCATTAATGTCCTTGGTCACAGATGGTTAGACTGGAGTCTCGGGATGATTCGGAGTTTCTAAACTAATATTTTCAAAGATTGGCTGGAATTACAATTCCTGAAGTGGCCAGGCAGTCCCCTTTTCAGTGCTCTGATAGCAACCCTTGTTGGAACTACCCTTTTCTTCGCCTTCCTGTTCTTCAACTCCTGGTGTAGACCTTGGTCCAGAAAAGCTTCAAACAGTTTACTGTGCCATCAGTCATAAGCCTACTCCTACATGAAGGATGAAAGAGTTATTTACATTCTTGGTTAAACAACTGCCTAGACACATGTTGGATCAAGACTCTCGGAGATACAGGAGAAAGCGTAGTGTGGCTTTTGCTGCTGTATGCCCAGTTCATTTTAACACAGTCCAGCAGTTTTATTCCAGAACTCTTCAGCCTATCTATATATCTTCTCGCACTGTATGTAAGATTATAGGGGTTTTTAACCAGTAAATTAAACTTCTCTCGTCAGTGAAGTGTCCTGCTCCTAATCCCATTAGGACATGACTGTCAGCCTGTCCCAATTTTTTTAGTAGTATCCAAACTTAATTAAGACTGTCATGTATCTCCTATTGTGTACAACTTGGATGTTTTATTCTGGAATGATTTAAACATTATGGTCCTGCTACACATCACTGCTTCAGATAACTTTAATTTAATTGGTGCAGCTTGGCACTTGTGAGAGGAGATTTGTTTGTGCTGTGACAAGGAATCTTTGCATTATGACAGTTTTAAATTGTTAATTGTTCACTGACAGAGCAAGCAGTGCCTTCTTATCCCTTCCTGTTCCTCTTTAGTGTCTCTCAGCTGACAACATTTGCAATCTGTCATTTCTTTGAGAACCACACTGTCCAAGCACTTCAAGTGGTGTTGGTGGCTTAAAAACTTCACGCTGCTTCTCATTGGTCTTTTGGCCTCTGTAAATTCTTTCTTGCAGGAGAGTGTAGTGACAGCTCATTAAAGTCAGTCAAAGCAAGTCATCATTTACCTAAAGGTACACACAAGGCGGGGTCAAACCAGATTTGGTTTTTGGATGCACTTTCTATGTTCTTTGAGAACATTGGTACCTTCTGCTCAGTAAAATCCATTTGTAACTGCTGCAGATAAATTACCCAACTTTCCCCTCAACAAGGCTAGTTTCACGTGCCTACAATCAGACCTACCAGGAATTGAACCATAGTTCCATTGAACACCCCTACTTGTTACTGGATATTTTTCCCTTCCTTATTTCCCTCTGCTCTCCTTTCTTCCCACTTGATGTGATCCTGCAGTTAAAAACCTGTATACTGTTCTCATTTGAAAAATAGGCACTCTGTTTTCTGCAAAAATTGGACCAATGCTTGTAAAAGCCAAACCTTAAAGAAGCCAGCATCTCAGGCTTTTGTTGCAGATCTGTTTAGATTCTTCCTCTAGGCTGCATTGCTAATTTTATGTCTGTACCCCCACCCTCCGAGCCACCATACGCACAAATGTGGCCTAATACAAGTGTTGATGTGTAACTGTAAAATGTCTTGATTCGCTGCCAAGTGCTGCGCACGTCTAAGGGAAGAAGCCCTGGGAAAGTAATCAGTGATAAATTACTATGTGTGATTTCTGTGTGTAGAGATGGATATGTACATTAAAGCATCTCTACATATAGATAAAACAGATGAAATACTAGCCAGGATGGGCAGTGACAATATTTAATGCCATTAGTGGCCTGAGAGTAAACACAAAGAAAACGAGGAAGAGAATGAAACAACCATGAACACTCTCTAGAAACAAAAGAGCTTGCAAATACTGCATTTATGGCCTGCTGAGTGGTAGCTTAAGAAAATCCACACAGTCCAATTTTAACTTTGGACAAACATTTTTTTTTTGTTTGTTTGTTTTCTATTGTTATGTGGAGTATTCAAGATTACTGGAATAAAAAAAGAGCTCTGAATTTTGTTTGGTTTGGGGTTTTTTGGTGCATTTAGTAACACTTTGTGAACAGTTTTTCCTATTTGTGTAGAAACAGAGGAAAGACGACCATAGAGGAAAATAATAATCCTCAAACCATTACAGGTTGGCAGGAGAACTTGAATTCCTAATTATTTAATGGAAGCTATTACAGAAACACTTGTGAAAAATGAGAACATGTCCTAGAGGGGGAATCTCAGACCGGAGTTTTCTTCTCCTCCCCAAGTACAGCCAATACACTATATTTAGAGTTTTAATGCCAGGTAAATAGATCAGGTGTTTTTCAAACAGAGGAAAAAAATATTTTAGTAGTATTGTCTGTGTGTGCACGGATGAAGTCAGGAAAACACACATGTGAAATGGAGACAATTAATACAGCTTTTTACAAGCTGTTTTATGTGCACGATTAACAAATCAGATTGCATTCTCTGAGCAATTCTTTCTGTTAATCCCCACATTCAGTTCCTTACATGAATAGTCTGTTTGTTGATCAGGCAAGTTAAATTTGTAGACAGCCATGGTTCTGATCTTAAGGAAGGGTGGGTGTAGACACCAAGGAGTGATTTTTGAATGAAAAAATGCCATCATGCTGCTAGCACATAGGAAGTACTGCATGAACAAGGTACAGCCTTCAACAGGGGCTGGGAGAAGTGAGAATACTTGTCTAAAATCAGTGCTACTCAAATGCGTATTTTCCTGATCAAAAGAACATCTAATATTACAAATGGCAGAGATTTTTTTTTTCTTGAGTTGCATTAATTGAACAATATAATTTTATTTTTGTGGGAAGATTCCAGTGTCATCTGAAAACCCTTTGCCTATTGAAAATGATGTAGAATTTTGTTTACATCAAAACAGACTCGCAGCCAATGTTCTGCTAGAGCTGTAAGCATGAAGATGAAAAAGTATGTGTGGTGTCCTGTATTAAAGGGGTTGGTTTTCAGCTATATCCTTCACAAGTTTTGATGAAAACTCAATTTACGTAGCCTTGTCCTTAGGTTATCCAGTTACACTTAATGTGCCAGCTTTTTTCAGGCGTGTGGCTTAAAACACAAGTGAAAAGGGACAACCTAAACTTTCAAAGTGGAAATTGTCAATCTTTGAAAGTCATGCCTTAATGACTCCCGCCCCTTACATCAACTGATAAGGTTCCTACTAGAGTGCCTGGGGTTCCTCAATCCCAGCTTAATTCTTTGAAGAATACTCTGATCTACTGACTCAATCTGGCCAAGCTTGGGCTTCTTAGTTTGCTACGAAGATACAGTTTTTCAGTGCCACTCAAACAGAATGCATTCTTGTCTATTTTAAAATAAGTTTAAGCCGATTCATTTTTAAACTGTCACTGTCTTCAGGTGTCCTGGCTTGCCTGGATGGGTATATGAATATAGCTCTGGAACAGACTGAAGAATATGTAAATGGACAATTAAAGAACAAGTATGGGGACGCATTTATCCGAGGAAATAATGGTAACTACTCCTCTTCCTCATGGTATTGCTCATTAGAAGATTGTGTTTTGATATTTAACTTCTGAGTTTGAACAGTGGCTGAGGTATAAGCAAGCTGTCTGTAAGAATATTAATTTTAGGCTTTTTTTGGAAATCTTAACATATTTACTTTTTTACAGTTTCACTTTTCAGTGTCTCTGCTTTTCTGCACTCCTGTGGCCCTTTTTGCCTCTGAGCTTGAAGTTCACTTAGTGAATCATGCTCTTTTCTAGCCTTCCTTAGAGCTTATTTCCTGTCATTCGACAGGTCTATTCTTTTGCACTCACTGCCTGCTTAGATAGCTTCTGCTCCATAGAAGTTTCTGTGTTTTGCTAGGCAAACTACTGCGTAAACTTGTGATACAGTACAGATATTGGCAATATTTTCTTGTGATGCAATTGTCCTGACCTGAACGAATGCTGTTCATTAGTACTGGAGGCTATTTTCATCTTTACGAGTAAATATTTTGCCAAAAGTCAAGAAAATGACTTGCACTTTACTGTTGAGCCTTTGAATATCCTAGTGCAGTAGGTGGATTTTAGTGCACTTCAAGGATAATCCCAGGCTCCTGGAATGACTCTGTGGTATCAGTTAGGCTGTAATAGCAGGACATGCCAGGGAGAAGAGAATCTAAAAATAGAAAAGGTTCACAAGTCAGATGTGAGGAGACTTGTAGAGAAGGTAAATGAAGCAGAGGTTGACCAAGTTACTTGCGAAGAAAATGGAGGACAGGAAGGACAGTGGGAGGGAGTAAAAAGAAACAAGAACTGAATCCCATGTTACAAAAAGAGTCAAAGAGACTGTGGTACCAGCATGAAAGAGAGTTTTGGGAGGAGAAATAATCCTTGAATGAGGCCAAATGCTTTTTGCAAGGAATTTGGATTATTATGCTAAGGAGTGCAGTGACATTGCAGCTGGATAACCAATTATGGAAATAAGAATCTATTATAGAAGTTAAAACAAATGGATGGGAGGCAGGAGGCTGAAGAACAGGCTGAGCAGAGAACTTAAGACGTCCCAGGTTTAGGAGCACAATGCAGTTTCATCTGTTCTGGGGATATCACCAGCCAAGCAGGTGGAAGATGTCTGCTGCTTCATAGGTAATCGTTAGCTTTGCCTCAAGTGCTTGCGATTTCCAGCTTCTGTTGGAAGATCACAGCATTAGTGTCTGACACCCGTAATTCTGCTACTTAGAAACTCTGCTATGCATCCCTCAGTAATGCTGCAGGGTAGCTGGGTTTATTCTCCCTCTGTTTAGCCTGCATCTGCTGGAGTGTAGTTTGGCTATGAATATAATAAATACCGGACCAAAGTAATACCTAGTGCATACATTTGATAGCATTTCTTGAAACCTGGACTTGAAAGTTTCCTGACTTTGTTCATGCTGAATGGGATGCATTACACTGTTGTTTTACAAGCCATGGAAATAAGATGTTTTAAGTGAACAGGCTTTTGCACATTATTTACCAAGGCCCTCTTATGTGTGCTGCTTTCTCCTTTTCACAGTATTGTACATAAGCACACAGAAGAGGAGGATGTGAAGATGCCAGGAGGAGGCTGTTTTGTACTTGTGAATCTCTCTGAAGTGATGAGCCCTATTTGATTTGTAGTTAATAATCCACAGGTGAAATACACAAGTGTTTAAATATTTTTTTTAAATAAATGTGAAGTGATGTAAACTTCCTGAATGTTTTTGTTTCAAAGCATTGTTTTGTTCCACTGTACAGAAAAAAAATAATAAAAGAGAAGAATGTAATAGTGCCACAAGACTAATTCAAAGCAACAGCTCCTTTAATTACACTAACAGTTACAGAAATACTGATTGGAAGGTAAGCAGGCATGGAGTAATTGCAAGTCACAGCCTTGTAATGATGCAAAACAACAATTTAACTGATGTTGGGAAGGGAAATGCTAATGTTTTGGTGACAATGAGCTGTCCCTTTTGGAAAACACAGGGTCAGCTTTAAATGCCAATCTAGTAAGAGTCATAGTGTAAGAAGTTCAGCTGTCCAAAAAATCTTGAATTATGGATTGAATCAAGGGATGTAACAGTGACACTTCAACAGTTAGGGGTGGGGAAAGAATTGAATCAAATAGAAAAAAAGCCCTGAGGGTGAAAAGAAAGCTCTGTGCCAGCTGAGGAAGTCAGTCACAGGTGAAAAGCTCTCAGTATGCCAACACAGCTGGTAGCTGCTTCCCCTCCTCCCTCAGTACCCCCTGCCCTCAGCTTGCAGTTACCTTTTTCCCTTGCATCTCTACCAGACACAATGGACTTCTTCAATAAAAAGCAATTTTAACTAATATCTAAAACTAGTCCTGAAAACAGACTAGGAATCTACATGTCATATGTATCCTCTTCAGACAGTTCACTCTTTCTCCCACCCACTTCCCCCATAACCTAGTACCATCTACATATTCTCTTTCTTTGTGTGCTTGCCAGAAAAAGAGAACAAATACATTAAGCTTATAGTGTGGGGTATGCACTAGGGAGGGGTAATCTCTGTGCAGGCAGTGGAGTCAGAACACGTTTATATTTTGCAACAATGCTCCCAGACAATCAAAGCCCAGGGAGTAAATCCAGCTCAGTTTTACAGGGATATTTATTCCAATTTATAAAATAGCTTTTCTCCTTTTACATGCAGTGAGCCAAGAAAATAAACAACTGGATGTTCAGATATTTCTTAGTCTGAGTGTTACTGCACTTAAACAGATACTCGGAGTGTTTTCTTGTTCCTCAGGACAAAATTATATGATATTATTATAAGTTAGGGTAATGTACCTCATGGTGAGGTTATCTAGCCAGTTCTTCTAAATAAGTTTTCTGAAGTCCTGCTTTAATCTTTGGGCAGTTTATGATGCCTCCAGGAACAAATACACTTCTAGTTGTAGATGGACAAACACAAGACAATTGTGTGAATGTAACATTGGCCCATTCTTTCCAAGTAGCAGTAGCTCTAATGCAAGCAGGGAATAGTAACATTTCAGCTATCCAAGGGAGAGAATGTGAGTTGCAAATTTTTAATTTTTTTTTTAAGATCAAGGAATAATTCTAAATTATTTTCAATCAGTAGTTAACTTTTCCACATTAAATGCTTTAGAAGCCGCTACAGAACACAGAAATAAAGATGCTACATTATAATATGCTATGATAATTTATCATTTTCTGACAAGGGTTGAAAAGGTTCCAGGATGTAAGTACAAATTACCAACTTGCTGTTCTGTAAGCAACTTCTGTTAAAAAAAAAAAAGAAAAGGAAGATGTACCTCCAAGTGGAGCATGCAGTTTCTTCTTTGTTTTGTCATCTATATGCAGCTGGCAGGTTACTGTGTGCTTTCATTCCTGGAGACTGTCTGATGTTTGGTTGGTTTTTTTAATTTTAATACAGGGTTAGATTTTTCCCCCTTTCCTTCTGCACCTTTCCCCCTCCTCCACCTGCCCACCTATAGCAACGCAGACTTTGATTTACTGTCAAGATTTTGCATCGCTAACTTTTTAACTGCAGTTCTGTCTCTACAAGTCTAGTTACAGAACATTTTTCAGTTGTTACCTGCTACTTCAGATGGTCTGATCACATACTAAACTCTGAACTTAGAACTAATACTATGTAGTTTACATGCTGAGGGGGTTTTTAATGTATTCTAGATCACGAAGTCACTATGTACTGTGTGAGGTAGATAGGAAAATCTGCATTAAAGATGAGCTGTGGTAATTCATATTCACATTTCAAAAGTAGCCAAAGAAATGAAACATTTAATTCCCACAATCACTGACCTTTATGTACATTTTACAAGATTTGTTCCCCCCTTAATTCCATTTTCAGCCCCTATGTTTAAATCAAGTGAACATTTAAGCTTGACTTAAATTAGGCAGTCCAATGTTTGGATGTGGTCTGTTTTGAGTTGGATAAAACATTCCCTCTTGGATTTATTTTACTTAACTTTTAGATTTTGTTTTGACTTGCTGTATTCTGTGGGACAAACTACCAGTTGCAAGTAAATCAGACACTGGCTGGACACCTTTCAGAATAGCACATGGAACACTATCCAAAGTTTAAGGTCAGGCATCCTGTTTATAAGTATGTAAACATCAAAGTAGAATGGTGCATTTCACAAACTCTTGATGCTTAAAAGTGACTCAGCCTGATTTATGAGACCATGCTCCCATTGGGAGATACAAATACACTCTTATGAACGCAATATATCGTCACGCACTAAAGTATTAGATACTAACGCTCGCATCCTTCACGTTACCTCATTTACCATATCCTAATGCTCCTGCGCCCGTACCCGTGTATAAAATGGTTTTATTTGGATCAGGCTCATCTAGACCAGGACTGACAATGAAGCATTCCTTGAGCAACTTATAAATGCTCGTCCATCACTTGCCTTAGAAGAATGTACCCAAAATTAAGTAATCCAAACTAACAAACAAAAACTAATTGAGTTTCAAGGACTGTAGCTACATTCATATACATTGTTAATAGTTCTACACAACGAGATCACTTCATGAAACCAAGGCCATTCAATCGCTACCTGACCTGCTTCCATGCGTTCAGTTCATAGACAGATTCTAGTAAATCCAGAGTTACTGCTCTTCCTACATCCCCACATCCAGTGCAAGTTCCTTGCACTTGAAAAGCCAAACCTAAGCCACATCTCCTTAAACAAAAGCCTGGCTGGGAGCAGCAGCACAGCACATTCTGTGGAAACTACAGAAGGCAAGTCTGGAAGGAGGAGGTAAGTACTCACTGTGTGGTGGGGCAGCCAGAAGCCAGGTTACTACTAAAGGCTGGAGCGCCCTGGAGTGCCCCTATATAAAGGGAGCAGAGCATGCTAGGAAGGTTTTTCTTTAAAGGTATACACTGACAACCACTCAGTTTTACAATTTGTTGCCACCTGGTTCCTAGCCCAAAAGGAATCCAAAGCAAACCACTGAATATTATTTATTTGAGTTCTATCTTATCTTTTTCATGATGTTGCAATGACAAAACAGCTACCCAGAGCCCTTCTGGGTATAACATGCCCATTAAGTCCTAAGGCTCTTACCCAGCTCCAAAAACCAGCGGTGCCCCACAGCTGCAGGTGTTGGCTGCATAATCAGGAAAGTGTGAAAGTGTTTGTGAAGTGACGGCCTTTGAACATTTGGCTGATGGTACCAAAGCAATGCCTGATCTTTAACATGCCAGCCCATGCCCATGGCCAGCTCTAGCCCTGTGCCTGCTTTGAAAGCAAACGGACGGAGCCAGCAGTCTCAGTCTCGGGTTCCTGTGCCAAACTGTTCTCCGAGGCTGAGCAATCGGATGGGAGGAGGCTTTCCCTGAGCTGCTGTACTGAACCAGACTGAGGGTCCCTTGAAGGTTTAGGAGTCAGTGATCCACACAGCAGCTCTGGGCTGGGCTGCATGCCTGGGGTGGCTTTCAGGTCTCTGTTGGGCTGCAGGGACCCCTTGGCCACAGGACACCTCTGCCAGCTCATCCTGACAGTGGAGTTCATCGGCAGCTCCCACTCGGTACCACGACTGCACCACCTGCCTGGCCTTGCCTTTATCTAACAGAGCAGCAACAAGTTCTCATGAGAACATCCTTTAGAAAGAGGGTTGTTTTCTTGTAAGGAAATTATAAAATAGCTCGAGTGCTGAAAAGGGAGAGCTGCTCTCCACGGCCGACATTGCATCTGCTCTGTGCAGCACACCATGGGAAAATCCATCTGGGCCCCATCCGATGCTACGTGAATGTGGGGTGCCCAGCCTTGAAGGGATGTACAATTTACTTCCTGTCTGTATTGTCTTATTAAAGCAGTCATTAAGCTATTTGTTGCTGGGCCTTACTGAGATCCAGAAAGGGCCCTGCACCACCTCTCTCTCTCCTCAACCCCCTCCTCCAGTGCAGAACAGCTGCCTGAGTTGCAGTAGTTACCAAGTAAAATAATGGGTTGTACTGTGGGGTTTTTTGGGCTGACTTTGTAAGGGAAGAAGGATCACATTACATGTTGCGTGTCTGTGTGTGTCAGTTCATTCCCAGCAGTAACATTTGAATCCACCGTCACACTTCAGTAAGTGTGACAGAAGAACAGCAAGAATAGTCAACTGGATAGAAAGGGAGGGACCCACCAGTACTTCTGCCAACCTTCCCCCTCACTAGACATCAGAGAAACGTCATTTCCCTGGTCTCCCCAAACACAGCCCCAGACATGCACAGGTCAACCCCGAGATGCGATTTTGTAGGCATTGTTCTCCATCCTCCCTGTGGGACTACCAGGGGTTTTTACCACTCTCCTACCATGGGTTTTTAACTGCTTTGCTCACAGTTGTCCACTGCTCTTTGTTTTAAAGTTGACCTGAAATACTCTTCAGTAAGATGGTGCTGCCAGCTTTATTGGTTTAATGATCAGTTCCTTGTGATCTGGACTCAACTAACTGTTGCCACCTTCAAGCTCTCTCCTTGATCAGCCCTGCCTGCTCTTCGCTAACCTCCCCCAACTTTGTTCACAGGACTCGGGTGGCCGCTAGCTGACCGGGAGGGACTTCTGACTCATTATAACCCTTATCTTGCAGTAGCAAAGCTTTTCTCAACCTGTCAATGAAGCAACCAACTTGCTCTTGAGTGTCAGCTCTGGGTG